CTTAACAGAGCTACAGTCTTGGTTCAAGATAAGGTTCTTGCTACACTTCCATCCCCCAAGACTGACACACCCCCTGGGTCAGGACCTTCCACAAAGTACTCAGTTCCTTTGTCTTCTTAGGTGAAAGATAATTTGGGTTTCTTTGCCCCTCTCTTTTATAGTCCAGTGAACTTTTGAAATGTATCCTTCTCAAAGTTCAGTGCCCCTGCTGTGGGGAAATGTTCCATGGAGAAGGTTCCACCCTGGTTTCTTCCCTGCTCATGCTTTTTACAATGCAAATTGATCTGTCCCAGCAGCCTCTGATATGCCAATGAATGACCACTTGTCTATGATTGCCAATTGTCTGTATGTCCCCTGGATGGAGGCATCATTGTTTACTTTGACTGGAAATAACTTGTTTACCCACTCCCCAGACTTGTCTGGTTCAACATATTTTAGTCCCATATTTTCTTCACATTCGTACAGTCCTTTGGGTGTTTACTGTATATACACCATATAAGATTGTTAATGATCAGTGTGTTATACTGGCTTTTCAATGATACCTTACATGACACCCATTAGATACAGACTATTAAGTGAATTGGGGTACATGAACAGATCAGGCCAGCTGGAACTCACTACCTGATACCAGAGCCCCTTCCCTTGCCTTTTGGCACTGGGATTTTTTTATTTTATTTTTTTTTACGGTCACAATTATATTTAGTCACACATAAATAATGGATACGAAACAACATATACACACATACCCTCTGAATATTATACTCGAACTGTGAACAAACAATCCATAGTCTGCAATTTCTTCAAAGGTTTTATTGAAAAATTTTAAATAGGGAACACATTTGGACAAACTATGGACAATTTATACATCAAAAGAGCAGATATATTTGCCAAATAAATAATTGTGTATAGTTCACCCAGCTCTAAGCCCTGTTGTCATAAATATAAAGGGAAGGGTAAACCCCTTTGAAATCCCTCCTGGCCAGGGGAAAGCTCCTCTCACCTGTAAAGGGTTAAGAAGCTAAAGGTAACCTCGCTGGCACCTGACCAAAATGACCAGTGAGGAGACAAGATACTTTCAAAAGCTGGGAGGAGGGAGAGAAACAAAGGGTCTGTGTGTCTGTCTATATGCTGGTTTTTCTGCCGGGGATAGACCAGGAATGGAGTCTTAGGACTTTTAGTAAGTAATCTAGCTAGGTATGTGTTAGATTATGATTTCTTTAAATGGCTGAGAAAAGAATTGTGCTGAATAGAATAACTATTTCTGTCTGTGTATCTTTTTTGTAACTTAAGGTTTTGCCTAGAGGGGTTCTCTATGTTTTTGAATCTAATTACCCTGTAAGATATCTACCATCCTGATTTTACAGGGGGGATTTCTTTATTTCTATTTACTTCTATTTTTATTAAAAGTCTTCTTGTAAGAAACTGAATGCTTTTTCATTGTTCTCAGATCCAAGGGTTTGGGTCTGTGGTCATCTATGCAAATTGGTGAGGCTTTTTATCCAACATTTCCCAGGAAAGGGGGGGTGCAAGTGTTGGGAGGATTGTTCATTGTTCTTAAGATCCAAGGGTCTGGGTCTGTAGTCACCTAGGCAAATTGGTGAGGCTTTTTACCAAACCTTCTCCAGGAAGTGGGGTGCAAGGTTTTGGGAAGTATTTTGGGGGGAAGACACATGCAAACAGCTCTTCCCCAGTAACCAGTATTAGTTTGGTGGTGGTAGCGGCCAATCCAAGGACGACAGTTGGAAGATTTTGTACCTTGGGGAAGTTTTGACCTAAGCTGGTAAAGATAAGCTTAGGAGGTTTTTCATGCAGGTCCCCACATCTGTACCCTAGAGTTCAGAATAATTGTGTATAGTTCACCCAGCTCTCTAAGCCCTGTAGAAGGTGAAACTGGTCAGCTCAGAGGATTAATCGTGAACATGAAACCTACAGAAGATATGAAAGCAGTCCAGGTCCTTAGCCAATGAATGTTGCCAGCACTGTTCAATGAACTATGTGAAATAAGTTGGGAGACAGCCTCAGTGCAATTCCCAGTGGACATAAGTTCTATGTCCACTTTGCAATCCCCCCCTCCCCCCATCATCCTTCTCAAAAAAACTTTTTCAAGTGGGCCAAGTTATTTATATTGTGGTGATCAGGACTAAACAGGGGATTTAAAGTTTTTTGTCATACATCAGTCTCATTAATTCCTCAAAAGGTAACCTATTTCAATTATGTAGCCCAGCATTCTAGGTACCAACAGTCAGAGATTTGTTTCAAAATCCTTCTGCACTTATTGTCTCAGGTCATTGGGAAACCTGGAATTTATATAGTGAGGCAAAGTTACAAGGTAAATAATTAGTTTTATTGAGCATACCTACTGGGCTTCTACACAGAATCACCTAAAATTTCTAAAGTCTGGACCCAGCATATACTGGAACTTCAGTAATATCTGGGATGGACTCTCTAGATGTGACATCTGCTTTTGGTTGTTACAAAGTCCTAATCTGGAGCATAGATGGAATCTTTCAAAAGTCTCTATTTTTCCCCACACTGGATAAGAATAACGGCTACTGAGGTCAGTCAGAATTACTTGACTACTGCAGAGCAGAGAATAGGGCCCTGGGATATCATAGGTCAATTCCATTTATTTAAAGCTAAACATTAGCTATATATAAAGATTTTCATCTCTCGAATTCAATGCCACCAAACGACTCAAAGGACTTCAGAGTTCCAGTTTTTAATGACTTTATTTTGTGGGGAGCTTTTGTTCTGTAGGGATGTTTTTACTTATTATGTCAGATAAATTATTATTCAGTACTGAAGCCAGTTACCACGGTCTGCATGAGAAAACACTACCTCTCTGCAGACTGAGATGCCAAATAGATGTGTTAATATATGGCCATATGTGAATACTCCATCTGGAGTCTATATTGTGGGGTATGTACTGCATGATACGCAGAATAAGTGTCAATAGTTTACTGAAATACTCACATATGGACACACATTTTGGCTTCCTGATGTGGAAGAGAGACAGTGTGTTCTCAAAGAGACAGTGGCAACTGATAAACAACAAACTCAGGAGGAGTGGAGATGGACTGTCAGCTCTGATTGATCTCGTAATATGCCACAAGAGGCTGTGAGCCTATTGTCACCTTTTATGAACACTCAGGAAATTTTGGGCTAGAGAATTATTTTCTATTTAGGAGAAAAATGCGTGGTCCAAGAGATAGGACCAATACGTTATCATAGTCTACAATACATTCAGTACCTGTAGAATATTTTGGAGCAGAGATAGATACTAAAGAGCAAAACCAGCACAGTTAATACTTGCAAATTATCTTTAAGACAAATTTCCTTCTTTTCAGCCAGCTGGCACACACAGTTCTGTCTCAGTACGGTACAACTTGCCTATGTTTAAGGGCTGCACTGCATGTTTAAACTCATTTCCTGAAAAAACCATTTGCCACAGACTGAATTATCTTACATCTCCACCCCCTTGCCTTGGAGCTTCTCTGCCTGAGACTGCTGTGCAATATAAAGGATGGCTACTTGAACTCTAGTTTCTCAGTGGTTGTCATTCATTTTCAGAACACTTGATGGCAAAGACAACGGCCAGTGAAATGTTTTCTGTACTACATGCTTTCACCAACTTTTTTGCTGGCCGGTCATTACTGACAATACCAGCTCTTCATTGAGAGATTCTTGACTGAATAGTACTTTCAGTTTTAGAGTCTAAATCATCGTAGCATGTATTGATATCCTGCTTGTCAAGGATGTTACTTTGAGTTTCTTGAGCAAAAGTCACAAAAGTATAAGTATTTTATTACTTACAAAAAAAGCATTTATATGGCATCCATCAAATTCCAATATACCTTGGTATTTTGTCAAAACTATTTTTGTGGGAAAATACTGTATGGAGAGGAAGAACTCTCTCATGGATTAGGCAGTGGCTTGGAGCACAAGATATTGTGTTCCTTTGCCATCTTCCTGTGTGATCTTGCACAAGTCACTCAGACTTTTTATGCCTCACTTTTCCTTCTGTAAAATGGGAATAATACTTCCTTATCTCACTGGAGTGGTGGTGTTGTTAATTTTGTTTCTCATGGTAGTACCTATGGTGAGGATGAATTAATTAAAAGTCTGAGGCACTTGTTCTATGGTAATAGGAGTCCTATGGGTATTTTGATGGATAGATTGGATGTGTGTATCTATATGTATGTGAGACACATATGTGGATAGATTCACACAGTCTGTCCATCTAGATATTTATGTAATATATGCATATACATTTTCTTCTTTAAATACATCTAATTATGTTATTCTAATTTAAAGGTAAAGACTCCTGAAGTATCACAGATGAATTTATGACTAAAAATGCTCTTTCCATCTGGGCAATATATTTATTTCAAGGGAAATGGTCTTTTTTCTTTTCTCACTGTGCAATCTTTATTAGAGTCTTCCATGATTAACGCTGGAACAGTCCCACAAAGGGGTAGCTCTCCAGATACAGCATTGTCTGCACTCACTCTCACAGGGATTTCTTATTTATTTCTTTTTCAAAAGATATTTCATTTGGAGAATCCCTGCTGAGCTTTTTATTGCAGAAAATTAGGGATCATAAATTGCCCCTCAGAAAACTATAAATTCAGTACAATTGAAACATTCCATGGGCAGCGCTTGGCTCTTGGATGAAATCACTCCTTTTTCTTGTATAATTTATGAGCTTTTTTCCAGCATGGGGGGATTTATGCCTTTAAATTGCACACCAGGGTTTTATTGAATATAATTTGCTAGCAAATTTATATGAGCCAAATATATTGCATTTTATCCGCAATTATGAGCAATAAAATTGATGGGGCTTTACTTTTCATTTTCCTCTGGCAAGCAGAGTAAGCATGAGTTTATCCTGAATTTGTAGTGGAGTTTCTTAGGAGTACATGTGTACAGCTTAAAAAAAAATCAAGGAGGCAAAGAGTGAAGGCTGAAAGGCAGAGGTGCCATTTTGGAAAAGTTTTTATGATGAGTAAGATGCACCTCCAGTGCTCCAAGAGGGTAAAAAGCACTTGGGACATGGATGAAGTCAATGACTCCTACTGACTTCAATGGGCTTTGGATGAGGACTTTGTAAGGTAAGCTGGGGATAACCTGTCTCAAGGCAGCTTTCTGAAAATACATACCAGTTGGTGCAACCTGGTGTATTCCAAAAGCGTGGGGGAAGGTGGAGGGGAGAATTGCCTTTCTGTGCAATTTTTATTGTATCTAAATTGTGCTTATTTTTGTGGGCCTTATTTCCCAAGCATTTTTCCTATGGACACAAAATGAGAGAAAAGTCAGAACAGTATCAAGTTCTTTGAGACAGGACTGTCTAATAGAGGTCTGTAAAGTACCCAGCACACTAAGGCCCTCATTCTCTACTGAGGTCGCTAGGCACTAGCATAATTAATACATATAAATAATGGCCAAGATTTTCAAAAGTTATTTCCTTAAAGTTAGTTTTCTAAATCCTTATTTAGGTACCTAAAAGGAAGTGGCCCAATCTTCAACAGTGCTGAGTGGCCATTGACTCCAATGGGAGCTGCTTCATGCTTTTGAGAGTTTAGGTGCCCAACTTAAGGCACCCACTTCTGAAAATTGGAGTGAGATTGTCACACCCACTCCAGACCCTCTATACCAGGTGAAGGGCTGCAGTGGCATAAATCACATGGAGCATCATCAGTAGTAGCAGAAGAAGTGTTGTGGTAGCCCTCGGGGCCCTGGTCATGGACCAGGGCCCCAATGTTCTAGTGCTGTACAATCACACAGTCTTCTACTGGAGAAGCTTGGAGGAGATGTCAGAATGAACCAGTAGTCAGGACAGATTAAACTATGTTAGATGTAATTATGGTTTACAATGCACATTCCAGTGAATATAGAGCAGCTTGTTTGCATCTTATAATTCACACTATCAGCCTTATGTGTCCATATCATGCCTTTGGCAGTGGCCCATGTCAATTTAAAAAGACTGACAAGAAAAGAAACCGAAGCATGGAGTGGCAACACTGAAGGGACTTCCACAGTTTTCATTCTGACCTTATTCAGAGAAGCTCCCCTTACTTTTGCTGAAAGTTTGCACCAGCAAGCAATGAGAGGAAAATTGGAGCTATGGGGATAATTTCCTTTGATTTATTCCATGCTCTGATTACCCACTGTCCTGTGTGGCTGTCAAACTCCCCCTTTTAAAGCACCTCCTGCTGGTTCTGGGTGCTGCACTTTGAGCGTGGGAGGGCTGGGGTATACACTGATTATGGCCCACACTCAAACAATTCTGCCAAAATGCTACAGTAGAACCTCAGAATTATTAAGAGAAGAGTTATGAACTGACCAGTCAACCACACACCTGATTTGGAACTGGAAGTATACAGTCAGCAGCAGACACACATGCACAACAGCAAATACAGTACAGTATGGTGTCAAATGTAAACTACTAACAAAAAGGGAAAGCAGCATTTTCTTCTGCATATTAAAGTTTCAAACCTGTATTAAATCAATGTTCAGTTGTAAACTTTTGAAAGAACAGGCCTTATGTTTTGTTCAGATTTATGAACATTTCAGCATTATGAACAACCTCCATTCTTGAGGTGTCCATAACTCTGAGGTTCTATAGTAATCTCTATCTCAAATATTGGCTTCCAGTTCAGTGATATTGGAGTACCTCACAGAACCGGCATGAGGTACGGTAGGATAATTGTTCCCATTTTGCAGATAGGAAAGTGAGGCAAAGAGATACTAGATGACTTGCTTCAGGTCAGGATGTCTGTTCTAGACCAGGGAATTGAAGCTAGGTCTCCCAGATCCTAGGCCAGCACTGTAACCACTGGACCATCCTTCATTTGGTCTGTTGTCCTTTTCCTGGGCTCCTGCTGCACACTTGAATCCTTTTTCAAACTTCATGGCTTTTTCCTCCCTCATTAGCTCCTCACTCAGGTTTTGCTGCAGGATAGGACAATCAGGCCAAGAGAAGGGACCTTGGAGTTTTACTGCATTCAAAGATCATTAAGGTTGTGATTTAAAATGGCCAGATTAAAAGGAAATTCGGAGTTAAGGCCAACATGCTTTTTGTGCTATTTTTCCCACAACAGCATGAGCAAAGGGTGGGGTCTCCGCATTTACACTGAATTTCCTGACTGGCTCGCGCCCATTTTGTGTCTCAGACTTAATGTTATTGAAACATTCTATAGCCTTTGTGTTTAATGTATACAAAGTGGTGAGTGCCAGGGCCATAACAGTGAAATATGACTTTCTTAATGAAATTTCAGTCCCAGCTCATTTCACTTCTGACACTGAGGTGACTGCAAATAAACACTTTCCATAAGAGTCATTTAAATGGCTACATAAGCAATCTATCAACTACTATAACGCTTAAATAAATAAAAAAAGGAGTAATTCAAGTACAGTATATTACTGCCTGTGGCTTTGTTCCCCATAACCTTCCCCCCCACCCCTTGTCTTTTTAATAGTCAGATTCCCACTGGCAGAAAACAAATCTTTCTCCAAGTTGGAGAATTTTATCAGATTTATCTCCGAATGTCAGCTCAGTGTGTAGGAAACAAATGGAGTCAGCAGCATGATTTAAATGAGAAGTCTAAATTTACAGTCTCCACTGGCTTCTCATAAACCTTAATGTTTGGCATCAGGTACCAAGGAACTATAAATAACATTCCAAAAAGAACATTTATATCTGCTTAGCCTCTCGTTATATGTCCTCAACACAGCTTAAATAATGTCAGTAATACCTTCATCATGAGCAGGAAATGAAAAAAGTTACCCCATACATGTTTTGTCTTTTAATCAAATATTATTTCTCTTTAGAATGGTGGGTCTGTTTTTTAGGTTTAATTCATTCAAAATGTATGTCTGCAATTTCCACTTGTTTTTCCTAGATCTGAGTAGGTTATAAAACCCTTAAAGCTGAATCTAGCACCATGATTTCTTCACTTGTCCCCCTCTACTCACGCTTCCTCCCCCTACATAAACTTTGATGCTGCTGTAGGGCTAATTCTTCTCTTGGATACATGTGCAAGTGAAACTCATTGACTTGAATGGGAACTGTGTGCATGCAGCTATGGGGGAAATTTGCCCCCAAGTGTCCTAAACTCAGGTATAATCTCACTGGAGAAGAAAGATTTACACACACCCATGCACTGCCCCACTCCTTCCAATACACTCTGTTTAATCTTCTCCCTTTCTCTCCTTTTCCAACTCTTGTCTTTGTGCCCCATGTACTTGGAACAGCCTTGCTTTCTTGCTGGGTACTAAAAATCCACCCCCTTTCCTCCTTCAACCATCTGTCAGTTCACTTGGCCTTGCAATGCTGATCTCCATTTTGAAGCTGTCTGCTCCCAATCTCATGCCTGATCCTTATCATTTTGATTCTCTCTCTCTCCAAGTTAGAGTACCAGCTTTTCAGGGCATGGACCTGGTATTTGTAAGGGTTTATAAAACACTTTTGGCAACTATGGTGCTATATAAGGAATAAATAGACATTTAGATTCTACAGGCCAAATTCTTCCCTTGGATGCATATTCATGGATCCTATTTAAATCAATGGGAGTTGCATAATCATATACAAGGACAGGATTTGGCTCCTTGTGTGTGCGCACATATATATCTATAGATAGTGGCAAAATACCTTGTTCGCCTCAGTAGGCTCCATCCTTTTTAGCCTTGGAGACTCAGGTTTGGGGCAAGGTGAATCCTTATAGGTAGCACAGGGTCCTGCTAGTCCTCTCCTCAGTCAGTCCCTTGTGCTTGTTTTCCTTCCCTTTTGGGGAGTGAGTGCAGCCTCCCTACTGGGAGGGTTTAGTGTCTTGCTGCAAACAACCTACTGGCAGCTTCCCTGCTCCTCTCACTCTCCCCCTCCTACCACCCAGGGGAGGGTTTAAAAAGGTCCCAAGTAGTTGGAGTCAGCTGAACCTAATTGGTTCCCTAGCAACCCCTTTTCCAGCTGAAACTTATTCTCTCTCCTCAGTGGGTAGGGGAGGGGCCTTTTGATCCCCTGGGACTAATTACTACCCCCCTTTTGTAGCTGTTTGTCCTGGGTTTACCACAAGATATAGATATACATATCTATAGATATATGAATGATACATTGCGACAGACACAGACAAACAGAAATGCCATACTGAGTTCAGTGTAGAGCCTCTCTTTGTTCAGACGCTAAAATCAGGGCCCATGCTGTGACAGTCACAGTTGGAACTTAATCATATTGTTGATACACATCAGTGAACAAGCAAAGAAACAGCTACAAAAATAGAAAGGATTAGAAACAGTGGAAGATATGCATTACACACAAAACAAAGGCAAACAGACTAAAACAAGAACCAGAACAGTGGTCTACAAAGAAGGGCAAGCAATTAATGTATTGTGGAAAAAAACAAGAGACGCAAATGTCCAGCATATAATTCCACATGTGCTTACTGCAAGAAAAGAAATCATTTTTCAGGTATGCAGACAGTGACAGAGATAGTCCAATAATGTATACCAAGGGGAGAGTGATGACAATACCTACTCAGATAAATTTGTCTTCCACCACTACTCACTGTGCTGAGGCTGTGAAGAACAGGACAAAGTTGATTTGAACAACTTCAAGTATCACCACAACACCCAGCTCAGACATTCAAATGTGAAATTGATAGTGGCTATACCTGCTACATAATGAGCTTGAATAATTACTGCAACAATGTACAAGTTAAATCCTCCAACCTGCTGAAAAGCAACTCCAGGCTAACACGCTACAGTGTGGCACATGAGGTTGCTCCTTGGGATGAGGCACATTGCTATATCTGTAAAAGGGTACATACACTCTACAAACTAGACTTTGCAATAAAGTCTAGGGACCTTATTCATTATCAACATATACGCAGTATAGAACGCTCTCACAACAGAAGCTTAACGTCTACCATTGCACCTCACTGAGATCTAAGAGAGATGTCCGAGAGAGAAGAACAGTGGTACACTCCTAAGGGGTTGCACCTTACAGTACAGTACCATGTAACTGTCTTTCATCTGGGAGTCACCAGGTGCATTACAAATACTAATCAGTCACTTAATTGCCAGGGCTTCCCCTGCCAGTTTTGCAATCCTTTGATCT